TTGGACAGGAAATCATTGAAGCTATCCGCGGTTAACTGGGCATCAACTATGGGATTTCCGAGATCGTCTCGAAGGATGGGATACTGCGTCTTTCTCTGAGTTCGTATTTTTCTAGAGAAAAGTTTCGAGACATTTAACGAATTGTTTTCTGTAAACTGGACCTCTTCGGCTAGCTGTTTTTCCTCAGACAATCTCTTAGCTCGATCAAAAATATCACAAATCAAGCGCAGAACTGAAACATTGTTCTGCAGCCGGAAACGACGATAAAGTCTGCGCAATCTGCGACGAAAGTGTAAGTGTAGGAAAATCTCATCCCCAACATTAATAATTTTCTTACGGGGGACAAAACGAGAAATAAGCGGATCCAAAATTTCGTACAGTTTTGCAGTGCAAACATTCACATCCGTACTAAGGAAGAAATCAGTCCAGTCGTAGGCATTAAGGTGTGTTAATAATTCGGTTGAGCCAGTTGATCGGAAATCGCGGAAAAAGTTATACTTTTGGGACGACATTTCGTCAGCGTCGAATTCCAACGTTGAAACAACTATGTCGTGGTCTGAGTCCCCGAGTATGGCTTTCGCCTACGGGTCCACAAGTGCCAATTCTTCCTCGACTCCATCAAGTACCTCGGATTCGTTTGTGACGTCACTGGTCGCCATCCAGATCCTGTAAACTTTCGGGCCATCCAACGGATGCCTGTCCCAAGAATGTATTGCAGCGTCGTTAGTTCTTTGGCCTGATCAGCTACTGTAGCGCCTTCCTACCATCGCTGCATGACGTACGGGCCCCGCTCAACCGTCCGTTGCAGAGGGAATCTCCCTGGTGCTGGTCCCCCGACTGTGAAAAGGCCTTCGCCGGCTAAAGTCGATGCTGAGTTCAGATCTGTTGCTTACGCACTATGACCCGATGCTGCCGATCGTTGTTGCTGTAGATGCTTCCAACCACGGGTTTGATGCCGTCATCTTACATACTTTTCCTGATGGGTCTGAAAAGGCGATCGTGCATGCATCTCGCACGCTAACGCCTGCGGAGAAGAACTACGGACAAATAGAGAAAGAGGCTCTAGCCCTCGTGTTTGCCGTCAAGAAATTTCACAAACTGTTGTACGGTCGCCACTCCACGTTGTTGACGAATCACAAACCATTGCTGTCAATTTCGGTTCGAAGAAGGGCATTCCCGTCTACTCAGCCAGCCGACTTCAGCGGTGGGTAACCATCCTTCTTGGCTACGATTTCGACATTCGCTACTGTCATACTACAGACTTTGGTCAGGCTGACGCCCTTTCTCCCCTCATCATCAGAGTGCCTACACTCCCAAAAACAAGGAAAAACAAATCACTGGAGATCACATGCGTTTGCTCTCTCTCTACAGCGCTGCCATCTCAATCAGGCGCCTTCCCATTGGCTACTCCCCTCTTTTCAAATGTCATTGGACCGAATGCCGGCGAACCACGGTAGCGTGTTATAATTATGCGTCACCCTTAGCTAGTCGCGACTTGCAGTGTTTTCCTAATACACATTCCGTGGCCAGCCGTGTTTTCTTTGTCTGCTGCTTTGATATTCGGGACCAGGGTCGAGTGCGTATATGCTCCACGGGATTTCACGTTCCAGGCGGGTCATAACAAATGTAAACAGCATCTACTGACAAACCCATCTCTAGGGATTTCGTCCAGTTTTCCGTGGATATGAGGAGGTTAGTGAGACAGGATTGACCACGTTTAAATCCATGTTGATGCTCACTAAGCAAGCTGTTCTCCTCAATATGTCTCACCAGTTCCCTTTTCCCTATTTTTCGCATTATTTCGCAACAAATGCTTATGAGACTCACTGGCCTGAAGCTATTTGGCGAGGTTTTTTCCACTTTATATATGGGACCGATGTAGGCTAACTTCCAGTCAGTAGGCAGTACCCCTTCTTCCATGGAACTTTCGAACATCTTGGAGAGTGGGGAGGCTAGTTGGTCTGCGAGTTCATAGAGAACTTTTGCGGATAAACCATCCGGACCCGGCGATTTGGTGAGCTGCAACCGTCTAAGAGTTTTCCTCATTGCTTTCTTTGTGAACGTCACCGTGTTCATTGTATTTCCAGGTGGGGCAGTTTGCCGGTGTACTTCCTCATCAAAAGTCTGCTCCTTGGTGTACATGGACATGAAAAAATCTTATAAGAACTTCGTCTTGCCTGAGTTATTCGTTCAGTTATTTCTCTGGTTATTCTTGAGCCAGGGAATGGAGTCCCGATTACGTTTTCCCTATTAACGTACGAGGAGAACCTCTTTGGATTTTTGGTATTCATTTGACTATTTTAGACTCAAATGCTACTCTCTCTCTCTCTTTCTCTCATCAGGAGGCTCCGACAACTATTTCGCTGTCTCTTGAATTCCGAGAGATATTCGTACTGTTGACACGTGGTGTACCTATTTTACAGTCTCCTTTTCTTTATGAGATTTCTTTGTATTGCTGATGTCACCCACTCTGGTCCGGAGTCGCAGGCCCTCCTTTTCAGCGGACAACAGTTTTTACCAACTAACAGATTACGTTCTTAAAGAAAACCCAAGCGGGTCAGATACGTGCGCAGGGTTCCAATCTATCTCACTCAGTAGCACTTTTACTCTGGAATAATTCCCTTTCCATACATTTTCCTCCCTTTCGGTCCGGATTTCGGGTAAAGGAAAATGACTGTACTCCTGAACAACAACGCACTGATCACGTCAGCTCGGGAGCGTTCTAAAAGTCAGTTCAAGGACACAGTTTTCATCCCTGATAATAATGAGGTCTACACAGCTTGACTGCTGTCCACTTCGGAATCGGGCGTTCAGTGTGACATGTAGAGTAAGGAATTAATCAGTAACCAACTGGAGTAGCTGCTGTTCAAATGAGTTTTCCGAATGCGTGCAGTGCAGCGATTCCCAAACGATGCCTGGAGGATTAAAATATGCAAGTATTATTACGTGTTTGCTACGGACGATTTGCTTCATCCTCCGTGTTCATTCGCTGTCCGGGGGCCTTTATACCAGAGTAACATGGAGGTGTGGTCGGTTTGGTACTTTCAATTTACAACTAAGGATTTCACAGCATTGCTCCCTTTTTGTGAGGAATCACCCGTGATGTAGCTAATGCCGTCCCGTATTAACATCACGATTTCCCCACCCAATACGTCCACTTCGATTTATGCCGATAAACTCAAATCCGCCTAGCGTGACTCCTGCGTCTGTTATCTGCTTATTCAACCATGTTTCTACGAGAGCTATAACTTCAGGTTGCAAATGGGCCACGGTCAGCTTAATTTCATCCAATTAAATGAAAATATTCTCTACGTTTCTGTACATAATTATCGTGTTTTTGGCTCTCTTGGTCTCTGAAAATTGTTTGTTAATTCTCGCGTCTGAGAGTTAATGCTGTATATTTTGCACGAAATATTCGGCCCACTGTCTGTCTTCAAATTTATTAGTTTTCGATGAAAGTGAGGACTGGCGTGGTAACCGTTAATTTCGCCGGGTGATTTCATAGAAATTTGAGTGTTTTTTGATGATTTTGTTGCCTAAACCTTCAGATTATTTTCTCCTTCGCTCTAACGCCTTTTCAGCCCCGCTATCACCTTGATCTTAGCAAAGCCTTCGGCAAGGCTCCTCATAGACGTCTTTTAGTAAAATTGGAAGCCCTCGGCATCCGGCCGCCTCTACTCGACTTCATCAGCTCCTGTCTATCCTACCAATATCAGAAAATCATGATCGGTAATAGCTAATCGACACCTTACTGGATCACGAGTGGCGTACTTCAAGGCACGGTACTGGGTCCGCTACTCTTCCTCCTGTACATCAATGATATTTCGACTGAACTCGGAAATTCGCAAACTTTTACTTATGCCGATGAATTTAAGTGTGTTTACTCATATTTTAAGGACTCCACAGACGTTTGTGTTGAAAAAATCAATGCCGATTTGCTACGCATAAGCAGATGGGGTTCGACATTGCAAATGGAGTTTTCATCATCCAAGTGTAGTTTCCCGTCTTTTGGTCCTACCAAACTTCCTGGTCCCATAATTTTTCAGAATAACCCGTTCTTAGAATGCTTCACCATAAAGGACCTAGGTCTTAGTCATACAAATCAACTTGTTTTATCACCTTATGCAGATAGAATCTCGGCCGAAGCCGCGCACTTATGTGGATTCCTATCGCATAATTTTTTCCTTCCGGAAATGAAGCTAAGACCTGATTAAATGTTTGTCCTTCCAGTCCTCGAATATTGCTGTCCTTTCTTTGGTTTAATGAACGCCTGCGGCCGCTATAAGATCGAAAATGTTCAGAGGGTTTTCACCCGGAAACTGTTCTCTCAGGTCTCACCCAGTTTTTCTTATACTCCGAGATGCCAACTGGCGAACATTAAGTTTTTGTGAGTTAGAGCACTCGGAGCTGGCCTTTGCTTCCTTTTTCGCATTAACTCTAGCTCCATTCTTCCGCTCATTGACACTCTCACTCCGAGAGATCAGTCTTATGCCACGCGCAACTCCTGCATGGTGATTCCGCCGCCTCTTTGTACTACATCTAAGCGCTCCCTCTTCTTTGCTTCCAAATATGCCTTCCTTTGGAATAATCTTTCGCCTGAAATTAGATTATCGCCTAAGTTACTGGTATTCAAGTCGAAATTACGCAAACACCTTTCACCG